AATGTACAAATATATTTAATATTTTACTTGTATTTTTAAATTCATAAATATTGTGTTGTTAACAAAATTTTGCACTACCCATACATGTGCCAGCTCTCACATTCCAAGGTCATGAGCAATGCACCTGTATTTCTCCCAACTGCTTTTTTACCATTAAAGGACGATGTCTTCCTTCCCCCAGATTGCCTGCATGCCATGTTAGCTGCACTAATTTCACTACAGAAGCACTGAAAATGAACAATCTGAACAAACACGCATGACAAAATTGTGCTTCATTATTTATTTATTTTTTAAAAAAAGATTATTGCTAATACCACAAAAAAAACTTAAACAGTCTACAAGAATAATCTTAGTACAAGATGGACAATGAACTTCTAGTTCTGCAGATTTGGATGAGATCTTACCTTACCCGAGACCAAGCAAGGTCTGGACAATCAACCATGGCAGATGACAACTAATTCCAAAGTATCAAAGACCAGGATTTCTGATGCACTGTTGAAGAGGTTGCACAAACCCTTAACCATCCCAAATTGATCATCGAACAGTAAACCATTGAAAGAACTGTGTCAATCTTGTAGACACTACTAATATTCAAACAACTAAATTGTGATGTAAGAGTACAAGACAGCAAATACTTCCCTGTATATCATGCAGAAACATGATGGATATCTGTTAATAAAAGTAGTTTGGTTTATTTGATTATGGAAAAGCACCTGAAGGTTATCTGCCTAAAATTAATAAAAGTAATGATTATTTTTTGGCCATGCGGCATGACACATGCAGTATAAATGGCTGAATGACTTCAGAAAAACACAGCCCTTAAGGGGCTTTCCTGCTTTTGTTTTGTAAAACTGGAAGCAATTTAAATTTAATGCAATCATTACCAATCTTAATTACTTGTATTTATTTTCATAAACAAGACAGAAATTTTTTTGCTATTTCCTGTAAAATTTTTTTTTTTTTTTTTTTTTTTATTATAATAAATAAATTTGAATGAACAAATTGAAAAGAGGAAAAATTGACTTTAATACTGCTGAATATAACTTCTCTGTTAGTTTATATACAAACACATATATAAAGTTTGAAAAATACGGAAAAAAAGCAATCCGGAATATCGGTGTAGTGGAAGAAATTAAGTGTTAAAATAAGTAAGACTTTTGTATAGGAATCTTAAACACATTAAAACAAATTTAAAAATAAAATTTTTAAAAATAAAATTAAAGTTAAAAATCCAAAAAAAGCTGCAGTGAAAAGTGAACATTTGGAAGCATTGCAGGTAGAAATGCAAAAAAAAAAAATAAGAAAAACATAACATTAATCTCCCTTGCTTCAAACAGAACTTGCCAAGGCGTAAGTGTCTGAAATGCTAAACTGCTCAATTAATGAGTCGAAATACATTTGTCATTCCTCTGTACAATTTGAAACTTGAAACTGCATTAAACAAATTACCGTGTTTAATATATAAGATCACAGAGAGTCTTGTAAATATTTTTCATTTGCTGTGAAAAGCCTTTTACTTTTGATTGATTCTGAAACTGAATTTTAACCAACACAGATAATAAAAATAAAAAATTAACCCCTTGGGTACATTTGACATCTGAGACATGTCATTCACTTCCCCCCCCCTAAGAGCGGATGATGTGTCTAAGACGTCAAACCAAAAATTCAACTCTTGGGTACATTTGACGTCTGAGAGACGTCATTCACTTGTTTTCAATAGGAGCGGATAACGTGTCTAAAACGTTATTTGAGGTTAAGCGCAATTCTGTTCATTTCATTGTAGCTTGTATCAGTCATAATAGAAGAGGCAATTACAGTATTTCGGTGAACATTATTTGTGATACACTGCCCCATTATGTCAAAAACAAAGAATATATTTTATGATAGTGATACCAAAAGTGAATTTGAGAAATCTAAAGAAGAATTGCTTAGTGATCCTGAAATTGACAATTACAATGAAATACAATGCGAAGGTGATGAAGACGATATTGAACTAGAAAATGATGACAAGTGTAATATAATATCAAGGTTTCGAAGATGTACAAGACGTCTATCGAGCAGTGATAGTGAAGCTTCTCGTGAACCAGAAATGATGACAATTGTAATTGACAATTGAATTGACAATTTATTCATATAAAACCAAGGTTTTGAAGATGCACAAGATGTCTATCAAGCAGTGATAGTGAATCTTCTCGTGAACCAAAATCAGAGGAATGGATTTAAGAAGAAGAAGGAAATGTAGCCGATATAAAAATTTTTTCCGAAATATCTGGAATTAATCCTTTGAGCCTGCATAGACTAGATGGTAATCCTACGCCTTTAGATGTTTTGAAAGAAGTCTTGAATGAAAATTTTTGGGACACTATATATATATGTATATGAATAGATATGCCAGACAGAAGAGATGAATAGATATGCCAGACAAGTGATAGAAAAAGAAGGTTATGTAACACACAACACACACACACACACACATATATATATAAAACCAAAGGTGGTTTCCTGTAAGTTCTGATGAAATGAAAGCTTATATTGGATTATGCATCTTGATGTCGAAAATGAAGAAGCCAAAAATGCATATGTATTGGTCAAAAATATATGCAATAAGTACTCCAATTTTTACTATGCCACGCGAAGAAATATTAGAAATATAGTGGATTACCTAAATAATAAATTTTGTTACATTTATACTCCTGATAGTGAAGTAGCTATTGATGAATCGCAACCAAAAATTATATCTGTTCCACATGCAAATATTTTCTCAAATAAATCTGTACCCAAGGGGTTAATGCATTTATTCAGAAAGAATGGAAAAAATTCAATTTGGAATTATTGCAAAACTGGATCTTGATCATTAAGCCAGTAAAACATATAACAGAATAGAACTTTTTTCTGTTGTTATATGTGGTAATTTTTTTAAATAATAGCCAATGGATAAATCTAAAAGAAACAAAATTCATTCTAATCCTAATGACATTGGATAACTGCTTTAAAGCAACTGTATTCCACAGTTTACATGGAATTTCAAAAATTGCATGCAGTGTAATGAACATTTTCATATTGACCCAATATGCTTGAAACAGGGTTCTTAAACATTTCTACACATAGAAATTAAGTACTTTTAAGGATCATTAATGAACAAATTAAATTCACTTTTGTGATACCATCCTACAAATATAACAGGTTTGTAAATAAGATGCACATTATTAAAAAAAATTATAAACAAATTTGAGTACAAAAAAGTATGAAAGGGCTCAGATTTTAATGGTAGCCAAATAGCATTTAGATTAGAAGAGAAACACGCTAATGTGACAATCAAAATCGTAAAAACAACCTTGTATTTAGCGTAGGTATAATGAAACACTCAATCGATTTCGAGGGCAGCTAAAGGTCCCTCCTCATCAGGAGAAAGAAATACCTAGAAAATAAAATAAAGGAGAAGAAGTCACAGAAACACGTGGTCCTTATCAGCCCACGTGTTTTTGTGACTTCTTCTCCTTTATTTTATTTTCTAGGTATTTCTTTCTCCTGATGAGGAGGGACCTTTAGCTGCCCTCGAAATCGATTGAGTGTTTCATTATACCTACGCTAAATACAAGGTTGTTTTTACGATTTTGATCAAATAGCATTTGTTAAGATTTTTCTAATCTCTCGCTGAGCTTGTTGTGGACGTTATGCTGAGTCAACATATAGAATAATTTAATAACTTAAATGATAATTCCAAAATGGTTACATCATATTTTAATTCACAATAGTAAAAGAAGGCATTAGAGTTACATCAAACTGAACTCATCTTTATTTACATTTTTCTTGTTGCCAATCCAGAGAAACTAAACTTCACAACAACAAAGATAATATTATACATAGAGGGAGCTGCTACAAGCTCGCAGTCTACCGTTACACTCACTCTCGCTAATCCATTTCTTTTTGTCTTTTTAGCTTTATTAAGCATAATTTTCTTTCCAGTTACACTCCATACAATTCAACAGCAAATTTTTTAAAAAATTTAAAAATAGAAGGTGTTTAGAATTTCTGATGGAGTGTTAAATGTTGGCATGCATTTTTTTTATTCAGTCTTTTCTATACAATAAATACAACAAAAATAAAAATGTACGACATATAATAAAAATGTTTTATTTTAATGAAATTTATCAATGTTATAATTAATTATTTTAATGAAATTTATCAATGTTATAATGCTTAAAAAGTAGTTAAAAAATTCACAACTCTCTGAATTGAAAATTTTGTATAGAAATTGACCTTAAATTCACCAAACTGAAACCCAAAACCCAAACCCAAACCCAAAATAAAAAAAAAACCCAAAAATTTGGGGACAAATCCCCAAATTTACAGTAGTTTAATAAAAGAATTCACATCTACAAAAAGGAAAATGATTTCACAATGCTTGTTCCCCTTCTTATCCAGAAACTTAAATACAACATTTATATTAAAAGTAGGAATAAATTCAAACAATAATCCATAAAATACATATTTGTCAGTGAACTGCCAAAAATTATGCCTATAGAATGCTCATTCACACTCAAAATGGCAGAAATTTCAGATGATTAAAATTAAGGATCTTATGCTGATTTCAGCCAAACTTAAGGACTTTTAAGAATCAAAAATTGTTTTCGAAACACCTAAAGACTTTTAGGACTCTTAAGAACTATATAAACTCTGTTGGATGAATAAAATTCAACTAAATATTACATCAGCAAATAAATAAGAATTCTATCACACTTTTCATACAAATTTTTGCAGAAATTTAATTATTTTGCATTTTATAGTAGAAATAATAAAATTATCATTTATTTCTAAGTAAGTTAAACTGTTGTACACAGATTTACCCCATTACCATGGTTACTAAGAGAGAATCATTGTTCATTTCTTCCAATTTCTGCAAATGTCCTGTTTCTTCCAGAAAAAACTCAACACTGTCTACAGCCATATCATATGCACTTATTATCACAAATTTAAAATAGTAAATTAGAAAAACATACTTATCTCTAAAGCACCATATCCCATCTGGCTTGTACCCATTCTATATGAACAAGTTGGAACTACTATTTCATGAACAGTAGTTTCTGTAATATTGAAAAGGAAGGAATTGAAATCAGTAACAGGAGCCATTTGCTTTGGAATACTAGTCTTTCTTTCTGAAATAATGTACTGTGACTGTAAAAGAGATACCTGCATATTACTTTTCCAGGTCAAGAAACAAAAATATAAGTTTTTCAAGGATTTAAAAAATATTCATCATATTATTTATTGACATATGAGGGGCAGTCAAAAAGTTCCTGGAATTTCATTGTAACTCTTTATCACCTCAAATAATTAATTTACTTTTTACTACCACTATATTTATTTACAAATGGAATTCATAACAGGTAAAGTAGCTGAAGGTAGGAGGGTGTGGTCATCAGTTGGTACGATGTTAAAGTTCGAACAAAGGCCGAACATCAGTTCATGTGCAGATCGAGGAAATCTGTTCCAGATACTTTGTTAACCTTAACAGTTTATGGGTATGACTCTTTAAAGAAAACAGCCATTTATCAGTGGTTTTCAAGATTTCAGGGTGGCTCATTTCTTGTCACAATAATATAAAAAATATAAATGTTCTTGAATAGGCACGACTAAAGTGCTAAGCGAACTGTCGCCACAAATGTCAATTGCAAATAAAAATGGAATTAAAACTGCCTCGATTGCCAGGTTTCTTAGATATTGCAAACTCAACATACTATGCAATTGGAATGCTTCCACTTCAACATGCCATCTACAAGTTTCATCATCAGTATTTTTTTGTGTTTCTACGTCTTAGTGTTCCTACATCAGTACTTCTAAATTGTGTGTTTATTGCATATATATATATATATATACACCGGGTTTTAATGAAAGTTCCCACCTTTGCAAATATCATATGCGCAATTGGTTTGCGTTGGAGCATTTAATCATATTTTGTCAAATGATTTTTGCCATTCGAAAGAAAGAGACTTGCTTTAGAACACCGTGTTGTGAAATTTATATATATATATATATTGAGAGTTTATCTCCCCAAAAAATTTACAACAGCAAGAATTAAATTACTACAAGCACACTTATAGATAGATAGATGATCTTATACATTTAATAATTTGAATAAGATTCAACACTCCAAGATTTATCCAGAATACCTTAATAAAACTAATCATTCGCAAAATAACATAGACTATCTTGATCTTCAAATAATTAACTACAAAAAAATTTCACTGTTCGACAAAATATGAAAGTTCCATTTCAATACTAACAAATTAATAAATTTGACTTCCAACATCTCCAAAAAAGTTATCAGTAATACTATCTTAAATCAAATACAACATATTAAAAATATCTGCACAGATACGATAGATCTACAATGTGAAATTATGCTCCTTATTAAAATTCTCAAAAATAATCTAATACCTAATCGATTTATTAACCATTGTCTTTAAAGGGCAGGCGTTAAATACTCACTCTAAATCCTTTAACTGATAAGGATATGATAATTTGTTCCTAAACCGGAGAAGGCGGTATAAGTTGGATGACTATCAGTTGGAGGATTTGTACATAGCATAATTACAAAATTGTAAAAAATCTTTGTTTTCAGACTTTTCTTATGCTGTTACTAAAAAAATGAGCCTATTTCATATTCTATAGTCTGTCAAATAGCTCACTGATAGTGAAAATTACTTTTTTGCCTTCTTTTTTTCCTACTTGTTCCAACATGATAATTAGCCAGAAATTAATTAATTTCCATTCAGTAGTACATTCAAAATTTTAACAGACATTTTCTCTCACATAAGAACTCCACAACAAACCTCCCTCAAACATTTCAAGTCCCTCCCACGTACCCAAAATAGCTTCTCAAAGATTCACTGCCTGTAATAATTAAAAGTATTCCCACTGCCGATAACAGCATTTCGGACACCCCCCTTCTAAGTAAGACACAGAAGAGCACACTTTACCAACATCCCACTAAAAAGAAAGTAAGCTAATTAATGCATTTTCTGGCCTTTTATATTTCATGTACATTTAACATTTCACTATTTTTTATTATACATATTTCAATTTTTAAACTTTTATTTGATTTGTTTTTGCAAAGATAGCATAGTTATGTTTTTTATGTTTATTACAATTGAGTTTTATTTCATAATTCCAGTTAAGATTACCACTGTTTATTATGTTTATTTTTATAAAAATAGTCTTGAATTAACATGCATAAAAGCAAAGGTGTCAGAGAACATTTACTCAAGTATATTGTAAATTTTACTACATAAATCGGATTTTCACTCAAAATTTCTAAAGAATCTTGTATTAGCGAAAATGCTTTATTTAGAATGAGTTCTTTAATACTCTACTTTGGCTATAAATCCTATCACTTCATGGAACTACAATTTTAGCCTAACTTAATTTGCCAGTTTGGCATTATTATTTTTACTTGAGTAAAAGACGAAACACCTTTGCATTTATTAATTATTGTTCATTGAAAAGGAGTTGGTTTGTTCCCCTTGAAAAGTCAACTAATTTCCGACCAATAGCAATAATTACTTGTTTTTTTTAATTTTTAAATTTTTCAAAGTTTGAAATTTTGTTATTCATGATTTAAATTCAAGTCCCCTTTAAAAGTTTTTTCATGATTTACATTCAAGTACCTTTAAAAAACAATTTTCGGATTTTAACTTCCTACTTATGGGTTCCATCATTTTGATACATTCTACTAAATTTATATTAGGAGATAATATATCCAATATTTCTTTAGTAAATAAATTATTTTATATATATAAACATTATTATTAAGGTGTCTGAAATGGAACTAATGGTGCCTAATCTACCAGATTAGAACCATCATTTACTTGCAGTTCTGTTGCAAAATGTCAGGTACAGAATGCCACCTAATCAGTTTTAGGTACTAATGTTGTATCATATGACACTGTTAAGGTCTGGTACCTTCAAAACAAGAGCGATGACATTCAAGAAGTACAGTACTCTGCCCACCCTACTGATGTTGATGCCGATTGCGAGAACTTGTGGAAGAAGATCAGTATGCAACCACTCGAGAGCTTGCTCAGGAGTTAAACATAAGTGCTATGTCCATTAGTCCCACTAAGCATTGCATTAACTTGACGTACAAGATCAATCGCTGGCTGTCACATGAGCTGACTCAAGTTGATAAGGACAGATGTGTTCCAGCCTGCACTAATCTGCTTGAATATCAGTGCAAGGACACAGTTCTGGACCGGATCGGCATCTTGTGATGAAAAGCGGATTTACTTGAACAACACAGGCCGAAAAGGGGGTCCGGTGAGCCCCTTGGCATCATCGTACAGCACTATTTGACTAACAGGAAGATCATGTTTTGTATCTTTTGGGGCTGCTGTGGTATCATCCACAAAGAGGATCTGGGAAAAGGTAAAACCATTGACAGTAAGGTGTACAGCAATATGCTAGTCCATGTTGACACTGCTACCAAGGAAAAATGTCGAACTGAGTTCTGGCACAATAAAGTAATGTTCTATCAAGATAATATAAAAGCACATGTGTCTGCATTCACTGGCTGAACTTCTGTAGGGACTCGAATGGGATCTTTTGCGACACCCACCATATAGTTCTGACATTGCTCCTTACAACTTCTTCCTTTTTTCACACCTTCAGCTACATCTTCTGGTGCTATCATCTTTCATTCTGCATGGGGCATCCAACATGAGGTTTATTTATTTTTGGACTTGCAGCCACCATGTTTCTGGACCAAAGGCTTTGAAAAATTACCAAAATGTTGGGAGAAAAATCATAGAATTGAGTGGTGATTACTATCCGCACTAAGAGTACTGCTTTCTTGGTTTTTTTATTTAAATTTTTTTTTTAAAACTTTATTAAGATATTTTTGGGGCAGAAAAATTTTGTTACAACCAGATATATCCTGCTGCTTTAAATACTGCTGCTGTGATAATCAAGTACAAAATACAAATTCACAGATACAATTTTGAAACTGTTAACATATGAGCATTTTAAGCACCATTATTATGAAAAGTGAAAATCTGAAACACGTACTGGGTGCCCCAAAAGTCTGTTAACATTTGAAAATTCAATAATTTATGGAATAATTGCAGGTGAGAGGAAAAGACACAGATTCTGGAATGACAGGGGTTTTTTGCGAAGGCGGAAAAAAAAAAAAAAAGCGAAAGAAGGCCCATCATATGGCATGGGCAGCCAAAATGCCAGTGATGAGAATCTTTGAAAGGAGTTGTGAGAGAGGGATTCATTGCTTTCATGGTCACTTTTCTATCCTTGCCTCTGGGTGTTGGCCATGGTGTGATGTGTTTTTATTACATCAATCATGATCGGACCCTTTTTCTTTGAGGAAATGTATGGTTTTGCTATTCAAACTATCAGTGTGACAGGCATGAGGTGCGCTGATACGCTAACAGAATCGCAATATCCCTAATCTAGCTGATAAACACCTGCTGTAATGTATCACTTATATGCAAGATGGCACTTCACCCCATATTGCTACACGTGTGAAAGATCTCTTGTACACATCATTTGATTGATGAGGATTGCATGCTAAGCGCCATTTCCGTCATGCTTGGTCTCTCAGTTCCCCTGATCTCAATCCGTGTGATTATTGGTTGCAGGATTTCCTGAAATCGCAAGTCTACTGTGATCCTATACTCATTAGCATACCTGCCAACCTTAAGATAAAAAGTCGAAGAACGAAAGAAATATCATGCTTTGATATTACCAAATAACAATTTATAAAATAGAAAAACAATTGTACTTCGTAAATCTCATTCGTAGTCTAAAATTTTAGGACATAAAACAAGAGCTGTACACAAAAATTATTGCATGAATTTAGCTGCATTTTTTGGCTTTAGCCAAACTTCTTTGGAAATTCATAGTTTTCCTTTGAAGGATTTTTACTTGTTGAATTCGGCTTTGTAGGAGGCCAAAATTGACCCGGGTTTTTTTGAAATCATTTCAACGGGAATAAAGGAAATTCGTAGCAGCCCAAAAACAAACAGATGCGACAATCCACCACTCACTGATTGAGCTGAGGATTCTTCTGCTGAACGCCCGCGAAAAAATAATCTGGCGCCCAACTAAAAGAGTGGGAACAAGTTCAGCATTGGATGGCTTGGTTAAGCGGCGAGTTGGGAGAAACCGCAGCCTGAAAGTAGTCGGAAAAAGAGCAATTGGGAAAAATGCTAAATTGGCGAAACTTTACTTTCAACCCCCCACTAAAACCTTCAAAGGAAAAAAAAAAAATCCTAAAAATGGATTACGATGTAAAATTGTAAAGACAAACCATTTTCGTAAAATTCAAAAATTCATAAATTGGCAGGGTAGCATTAGGATGTAAAAGACCACATTGACAAGCATTCTCACGATAGAGAGATTGCTTACAGTGCTGGACAACACTGTCTTGACTACAAGTCGTTATGAATGGTCGTATCTTGTTGAACATTTATAAAGAACATAGTCTTTGCTAAAAATGAATTTTTATGTTAATTGTTGCTTTTGTTATCATATGAAGCACCATCTGTTGGCCGTTTTTTAAGCACATTTTTTAATTCAGTAAAACCCCATGACATTTCAAAGCATTTGTGTCAGTTTTTAACCTCTCTACCTACATTATTCAGTGAATTATTGAATTTTCAAATGTTAACAGACTTTTGGGTCACCCGGTAAATACAGGTGTACATTTACTCTACAAAACATTTTAACCAATTAGATTTTTAATATCAAAATTAAGGTTATATAAATCTTATTTACCTTATGATCATGAGCTGAGAGAATTATATGAGGTTCCAAAAAAGGAATTACCTTAAATTGCACATAAAACTATGAGATATACAATACTTTTTAAATATAACATTCATTTGCATTATATACAATATTATTAATTAAGTATAAGATCCACCTGCGAGTGATAGTAAAACATAAATTAGGTTGTCGGGGGAAGGGAGTTGGGGTGAATGGGGTAGCATAGGTTTCCTGCAGTTATAATTAAACCAGGAGATTTGATTTGCCCGCTTTCACCCTGAAGGTAACGTTCCCTCAAGTAGCTTTTTGCAAGTGCGGCATTGTTCTTACTATAGAATTTATGTTTATTTAACTTTTTAAAGAAAAAAATTATAACATATTTCAATATTTGTACTTACTGGGAACCAGACGTTTTTGAAAATGCCAAAAATATGATACATTTTGGCCAATAAAGTCTGCCACTTTGCTGCAGGCTCACCAAAAATTTGCAGTTTTTTTTTTTTTTTTTAAACCTATGATTATTTCCCCTATTAACTTTCACATGTCTATAATTTTTTACCTTCTTTAAGGATTGTTGTGATTTACCAAATAGTGAATGGAAACTATTTTGTAAGTGAACGGAAACTGATTTTGCAGGAAATAGTAAACACTGGAAATCAAAAGGCTAGTGTGCTAGTTTATTGCCATATTTACCATTCTGCAATAAAACAAAATCGCCATTTTTCTCCCATTAAAGTTATCATGGTGCATTTTGAAGCTTCTGGTTTGGCTAAGATAAAAGCCAATCTTTTTATTAGGTAATCATAAGTCTATCATTTTTAACATAAGGTAACAGATTCTATCAATTAAAAATTTATTGATAAAAATAATCAGTTGCTTTTTTTTCTATCATGATAAAGGTTATAATTATCCTTACAGTAGAAATTTCGTAGCTTTGAGTAGACAAACATCTGTGCAGCACTTTGCTACAGGTTTTTTGTGAGATAAGAAGTCTTGAGAATCTGGTTGACAGATTAGTGTCTTATAGCTATGATACGAAATGGTATCTTTGATTATTTGAATTGGTTATTGGAAATGGTATCTTTCATTAAGTCACATGTGCATGAGCATTTTTCTGGTGAATTCAAACATCTTTCCAGTTGAATGCTGTTGACTCTAGCTCTGCTAAACCTTTAAAGACTACTGAAAAGTTTGACCATTGTTCTTTCCAACTGATGTTCTAAAGTTATTATTACCAATAATCACCAGAATGCTACTGTATTGCTTGTTTTCCTTTTACACACTTTTGCAAAAAAATCTAAGCACCAAGAAGGACTTTTGCGATGACAAAGAAATTTGGAATGCAAAAACATCTTGATCAAACACGCAAATGATCAAAGTTTCAAGGCAAATGAACAGGAACTGTGATCATAGTGCACATTTCTAGTGCACAATTCGCAAAGTATAAAAGCAGTAACAGAGGTGGAAAGTTTATCTTTTTTTGTTGCTGCCATTGTAATTTTGTAAAGAAGCAACTAAAGATGCCATTACGACGATATCGAAGACTTTACAAACAACTAAACAATTTTGAATGTGGTCGCATTGTAGGGTTACGTGAAGCGTGACATTTTCCTAGCCAAAAAATTAAAAAAATATAAAATGTTACTATTTCCAGATTTAGATAATAGAGACAGTGGTATTATACTTCAACCTGTCATTTCTGTCATTACACATAGAAATGTTAAGATAAATTACGTACCTCTTCTCAGACAATCTGAATTCCCAAATACGAAGAAATTTATGATAACCATTACTTAAAAAGTTCTTAAAATGTTATGATCAAATAATATACATGAAGAAGGGAAAACAACAACAAAAAAAAAAAAAAAAAAAAAAAAAAAAAAAATTCAACAATCTATTTTAAAACATAAATGATTTAGATTTTGGAATATATGAGAAGAAATATAAGAAATAATCCTCTTACCTTAGAAACAAAAGTACTGTAAAACTGAGTCAAAGGAATATGGGACAGTATTATCCTATAAGAGCCGCTGGAAACATTTGGTGCTGACATGTATTTATTAGAATGAGTAATGTAATTTACCTAAATAAACAATAAAATTATGAATATTATTCTTTGTATTATTTAAAATAGCACAGATATTAGCAAAATTTTGCATTTCTAATGTGGTCTTTATTTATTGTATCATGTCCATGTGGAGAATTTAAAAAACAGACTGGTCATTATCAAATTGTTACATTTTTTTATTACTTTTTAATCACTATTAACAAAAAAATGACAACACATAATGTTGTTGTTGTGACATATATCACATCCCAACAGTAATATCAAATTTAGTTCGAAAGTTTTATCATGGCCAATAGGAAAAGGTTTGTCTAGCATTGGCATAAGATTTGGGATACTTTACGGGTGACAGTATAGATTTTTTTAGCTTCATACAGTTTCAGTGGAGTAGTCCCTGAAAAAAAAAAGATGAACCTGAGGGCTTTCCACCCTTCTTCCCCTTCCACCAAACTCTGTTATGTCCATTGCACAAGACAGATCATTAAATATCCATACCTTCAGGGGATTGAACCAAGATCCAAGGCTGGATACTGATTACTGCTCAAAGGTGACATTATTATATCAGAAAGGGTAACAATTTGGTAACCACCAATAAATCCTTTAAAAAATAAAATAGCTACAGTACAAAGTCCGAGATCCGGACTCGTTGGGACTTTCGAGATTCTGGATATTAGATCATAAGTTTAAAAACAGAAAGACGACATGTAGAAATTATAAAATTAAAATAGAAATGTGATTTAGATCTAAAGGTATCAAAATTACAAGCTTAATTTATTGTTTACTTTATAAACATTTATTTCATGTAAGTTTTCAGTTGCTTCGTTTTTTGTGCTAATACTTTCACTTTAATTCTGTAGACAGACATAATTTCTTGTTTAGTTACATTGTTGAAGTTCTGTAATTGGTGTGTCGAGAATTCCAACTAACTTGTCAATCAAAATGTTTTTTGTTTTCAGTAACCTCTCTGTCACTTTCAGTATTTTCTGGATCTAGAATCATACTACAGATTTTGCCATCCATTAATTGATCTATGATTGAGGAACAACGTCATCATAATGGAAAACTTCTTTTACATTATCTTCATATATTACCACTTCTCTACATTACAAAATTCGTTAATTGTAAAATTTCACCTTTGGTTTGCGATATCTGAAAAAAACCTTTAAAATTCATGGCTATCATCATCAAATTTAGCTATCGTTCGCCATAAATATTTGGTTATGTATCATGAGATTGGTGACTAATGACAAATTGTTCCACTAAATTTTATCTTGCATCTCTTGCACTGAGACAATTAAGTTTGAATTGTATTAGTTTAGTTATTTATTATTATACTTATGTCTATTTCTTGCACATGCTTAAGGCTTATATGAGTTCTGAATAAATTAATTCCCACACATACTTACGGCTTATTGAGGGCCGGCGCTAGAACCTGATGCTGTCTCTGTGGGTCATAAATTCTACTACCAAGTGCCTTTCTTTGTCTTTCCTAAATTCTGCTGCCTGGTGTGGCCATACAAGTGCTAGAATCTGATTCAGTCTCTGCGAGTCCTAAATTTTGCTACCAAGCACCACCCTTTGTCTTCTCCAAATTCTGCCGCCCGGTGTGGCCATACGAGCTCTGGTGCTGGTTCTGGGTTTATGTGAAAAACAAATCAGTTGTTCTTAATTGAAATGGCACTAAATATAATCTTTTGGCCTATGAGTATCATTAACGAATTTATTTTTAGCATATGGAAAGAAATTTTTTTAAAATTTTTCTCATCAACATTTCTCGGTGCATTTAACTTAAATCTGTAATCGTCCCAAAGCGTAATGTCAACATACAAGGTTACCATATTCTTTATTATTCAATTACTAACATAAAAAAAATTATTTAGGCATTGCCTACATGAATCATTATTTAAGTTGTCATGTGTTGATAAACATGCGGTGATGAAAGCAAAATATAATAATGATTCGCCAGGTTGGTGTCAGGAATATAAAATATTAGCAGTGTAAAATCAACAATGTTTCTATGTAGAATGTTTTGTTTGAGATGTATGCCAAGCAGATATATAGCAACAAAGCCAAATTATTTACAAATTTATGCTAAAATGATTGTTTCTTCCATAATGAGGTATTTTACTTAGTTCCAAAGTGAAATTAAGAATCAGGACTCTCCACATGCTTTATTATGCACGAAGGGGGGGGGAGGATCAAATGTGCATGTGCAAAGCATACCGAAAAAAAAAAAAGGTGGTGGTGGCTTTGAGGTCTGGATTTTAGATCATTCCGGATATTGGACGTCCAGATCTCGGACTTTGTACTGTAATTTTGACATAAAAGCTAATGGTAATAGTAAAAATCAATTTACTCACTTTGACGAATTCCAGAAATTGAAATTTAATGAAAACATCAGATCTAAAGTATTTATTAAATCTTTTTTCTATTTCAGGTAAGGGTGGTTCATTCTCTCCACCAATATCATTATCTCCTGGTACTATAACAGCCTAGAAAACAAATAACAAAACAGACAACTAATGAAAAAACAACATTAAAAAATTCCACACAATGGTACAAAAATTTACTTAAAACCTTTGGATTAAGAGTTTAAAAAAAAAAAAAAAAAAAAAAAAAAAAAATTATATATGACAATGATTTCGATATCTCAATGGTACACATTTTTATACCTTAATGTGCAAGGAAAAGCAAAAAAATTTTGCTATAAATTACTTATACTTGACTTCTATGTTATTAATAAGAAATTCAAAAATATTTGTTAAATTAATATACCAGACAGAATAGCAAATTATTATCTCTGATAAAGATTTTAATCATAATTGAAAAGAAAATATTATTATTAATACACTCATTAGTAGATTCTCAGACAAGCCACTTTCATAGGTGACTGCCATTGCACTATATTTTCCAATTATAAGCTTATGTTAGTATGAAAGCGATGAATTCTTTAAATATAACAAATAGTTATAAAGAGAAAATGAAGTAGCATTTTATGACTGAAAATCAGAAAAATAACAAATTCGTTTCTAATACAGAAGTAGCAGAATGGTAAATGTGAGCGTTTAAAAATATTCAATGTTACACAATCATATACATACACTCCTTGTATCAGCCAAAAAAAAAAAAAAAAAAAAATTAAGAATACAGAAGATTATTTATAGAGATACAACGATAATGCCAATCTTTTAAGAGCATTCTCTCATAGCATCATTAATAAGTTCCCATTTTTCAAGTAGGCAGAAAGGCAGTAATAATGCAAAATAATCTTATTTACATTAGCTTTATTAAGAAGAGGAACATTCAAATTAAAACATTCAATGTAAAAGTTTACATTCATCATTGTGCTTATTTTACATAGCTAATTCTTTCACGCCGAAATACAGTTACAAATCTAGTTAATCTCTAAATCAGACAATTTCGAGTATTCATATGAACACAAGAATTTAAGATAAAACATTTTTATATTTCAGGAGTTCAAAATATTTTTGAATTATTATTTATATCTCCAGTTGATAATTTTACAGTATATTCTTTTAACAAATCTAAATTTACGAGTGTTTCTTAATTCATAATACAAATAAATATTTACATTTAAGGTATTTGTGTTCAAGAATAGTTAACATAAAATTGGTCCGCGAGTCAAAGATTTGAGACAGTAATATACTTAATTCTTTTGCCCAGGTAAAAACCATGTTCCTGACCAAAAATACTTTTGAGAGAATTGCTTTTATATTACACAGAAATATCGACAATGAAAAATATTAAATTAGCAATTGTTCTATCCCTTGAATGAGTTGAAAATCTAAGTTGATACAAAATAATTTTAAAAGCATTTCATTTATCTGAAAAACCAATCTGAAAGAAAACTAAAATAGTTGGAAAGGATATACTAGGTACTCAAAAAAAAATTGTGCCACAGTTTTTAGTGAGAAATAACACCCCAATAATTTTATGAAAATGCGTTTTACTCAGTAAAACAATCTCCTTCCCAATGAGTTACAAGCTTATAAATCCCACGTTTGTAAAAATTCTTGTCTCTAGAGCCAAAAAAACTGTCCGATGGACTGCATGATATAATCTCGGTTTTGGAACTGTTGTTCATGCAAATGATTATCCATGGACAAAGCCAACTAATAGTCGGATGGAGTAATGTCCAGGGAGTAAGGAGGATGAGGTAAAATTTTCCAATTGAGTGTGTTGGTCACTTTTGGCATATGAGATCACGTGCTATCTTGAAAAATGATCACTACTTTCCTGCTGACTAGCGTTGGCTGCTTCCGATGCAGTGCAGCATCAACCCTTTGCAAGCCACAGGACCAGGGAATGACCAATGTTTTCTTTAAAGACTACTGTATAACACCTACTTCTTATCACATGTCAATGTTTGGTTTAGGAATAGAGCTTTCTCATGGTATGACAGCAATGAAGAGCAAATGGTGAGAAGATGAAGTGTAGTTTCCTCAATCAAAACATAAGGAATCCACTTAATGAGCTTCCATGCTTCCCAAGTCTGTGCACATGCAGTCGAATGGTTTCCTGCAAATCTCCAAAGCCTTGTATGAGTTCCTTGCGCATTTGATGTGGATTATGCTCGATGTTCTCCTTCAGCAGGGCTTCATCAATAGCAGATGGATGCCCATGTTGAGTTTCCTGGAGGCTCTCATCTCCCGATGCAAATTGGCTGAACCACTTTTGTTCTGTGTGCTCACTCACTGATGCCTCTACAAACATGCAGCATATTTTCCAGTTTCTGCAGAATTGTTGCCTAGTTTGAATTCACAAAGTAAACATGACTGTAAAACATCCTTTGACAGCATGGTACAACAACAGAACTATAGTTTCCACAGAACTGCTTTCAACATGACCACCGATACATCTCACAACTTTGCACTGAATGATGGTTAATGAGAATGTTAATACTTGACATCATCTCAACAGGATTGCCAAAAACTTCAGTGGCATGAATGTTTTTAGATAGCTGGTATAAGAAATAACAAAGGTATTTTCAAAATAATTAAATAAATGACATATTACATGCGATTTATTAGCACCTATAATAAAAATATCAGACATAACAACAAGTTATACGTACGACACCTTATCAAAATCAACTTCTTGAAAAACATTCCTGAATCTTTTAAAATAGGTAGTGAACTCTTCATCATTAGCAATTTCTCCTTCATCTAAATTATCTCCAAGAAATATGACCAAATCAGGTTCTACAAAGTTGTATGCCAGAGAAAATGTTTTAGATATATATCTACAAAAAATTAAAACATTTATTATTATTATATATATACAAATATTACCTAATAAATTTAGTAAAGTTATACATAATTCATTACTCAGCAACAACTTGATATTGCATATTGCATTTCATATTTCTTTAATTCAATTCATATATGTTCTAATGCAGCAAATAAAGTAAGAGCCATTTTCCAATATGTAAAAATAACATTGGAATCAATAATTAAAAAGAAAAATAATACAGTTATTGTCGACTGTGTTTGTTTTCATTAAACTGGATTAATGCAATTAAGGAAGAAGAAAATTTTTGAGTTTGAAAAAGTGAATAACATTTGAATTTACACTTACAGTTGAAAAAATTATGTATTTAACGTTTCACTTAAGTAAATTTAACTAGCATTTTCAGGTTTAATTAGAAACATAACATTCTCCTAATAAATTTCATCATGTCATTTCCTTTATTAACCTTTTGATGTGCGTTATATTATTTTTATAATTTTTTTAACTAGAAATTCTAGGAATTGAATATTATGATTTTAGAGACTAATATACGAATTAAAAAAAAAATCTATTCTTGCCCATTGTTCTGTGGGTGGTGGTTGCCCTGTGAAAACAGCACACATCTAGGACTTTGAAACTTACTGAGGTAGTAGGGGGAAAAACTTAATTTTTCCTTGAAGGTTTCCAATAAATGACAAAATTTATGAATTTTTGAAAAACGTATGTAAGAATTGCATTATATGTAAATTTTTCATATTGTTTTACAAAGTAAATAATTAGAAAAAATTAAAAATAAACATTTATATAATTTTTCTATAGCAGCGAAAGTTTTTTTTTTAATTTCAAAGAACACATTTTTTTTTGTGACACTGTTCAAAGTATGTTTTGTCTTTTTGATACATGCATAGACCAACATTGCTCATTTCACATATGTATCTTGTTCTATAAGGTTTCTTCCTTGTGTTATAAAATGTACACTGCCTGTATCTTCTAAATTTCACTGGTATATGTTCAACGTTATTTAGTTTCTTTTCATCTGGCACATGAAATTTGTGGGGTTTTTTTATGTTAATGGAAGGAGGGATTGGTCTTTTTGGCTTTGGTAAAGGATCATTCGTTTCCCATTCATATTTATTTTATTCGTATTTCGTCCCAAAATATTTAAAAAATACTTTTAATTTAAATAAAACTTTAGCGCAATTTGTATTTTTAATTATCACAAAGTATATTTACATCAAATTTAAACCACACCAAATAATTTATAAAATCACAATACTAGCTTGGGAAACAAGTGTGTTGAGGTCAGAGAAAAATCTCTGGAAAAGAAAGACCTTTTCACTGGGCAGGAGCATGTATTGTTTAGTAATAAAATAGCTGGATAAAAATAAACATTCCCATTTGAAAAGCAAGCAAACGCCACTGTGAAGAGCAGTGGTTTCAAGGTGCGACCAAGTATTACAATTTTTTATTGTTCAACGATAGAAATCATGATGTGCGATGAATAATTTTGAAATTTAAAGTTGCTTATATTAATAAAAGGAAGTCATTTTGTCTCATTGAAAACGAATTTTAAAAGGCATCTGATTTGAAGTACTAAGACTTAAAACATGTACGATTCTGCAGTCATTTTGTGTTATTTAGAGATTAAAGATCAGTAATCAATTGATTTTCACTAAAAAATTTCAGAAAGAAGAGGAGAAAAAAATTCGAAAATAGGTGGTTTCAGGGTGCAAAGGGTTTAAAGTGATGCAATAAAATATTTTAATAGAATTGTACACATCACATTCAGCACAATATTTAGTAATACCTTTCTATCCAAAAGTTCACAGAAAATTTGTATCGCATGCATGAAGCTTTAACATTGAAGACAACCAGTTACATTGTTACACTGAAAAAAACCATTTTCATATTAAAAAAAAAAAAAAAACTGTCAGACAAAAATTTTCAACATCAGAGTAGACATGTTAATTACAAGTCTGAAACAAGTAATTATTTCATTCCAAATCAGTTTATTATTTCACTTATGTATCAAGCATTTTACTCCCTTCCAATATTTAAAATGCGCTAATGATTAACTGTTTCTTTGGGACTGAACAAACCTTCACAAAAGTGGGTACTAATGGACATGATATTGTCAGTTAAATATGGACAACAAAATACTAATAGACTGGAACAACTATATATAGAAAGTTTGTACTCAAAGCATTCTAAGAGGAACTTTTCTAAAATTAAAAACATAAAACAGTAGAAATTGATAAAAGCCTTTTTAAGAAGTGGGTCAAATACTGATCGTGTTTTTTAAATAAAGAAATATAAGTTCCTTCAGAATTCTGTAGACATTTGGTACAATTTTGGCAGGAACGCAACCAACTTTCATGGTTTGATGATAGTCAGCTTTTAAACTTGATGGAATAATACATAGGTACCAAATGTTTTAATCAGTTGTTAGCACTGTAATTTTAATTTAATTGGCTAATATTCTATAAGCTGGGTAAGTTGGCATCAAACTATTTTGGCCTTCAAAATTTGGCGGCAATGAAAGCACTAAGATGTTATTTTTAAATGTAAACAGAATAGCAACTTTTAAGTTTTGCAGTAGTGAAATGCCATTATTTTATGTAAACATAATAGTAAAATGAGATGATAAAATGCTAGATGAGTAAAACAAGGTCCAACAACTTTGCAAGTAAAAACATAGTCCTATCTATGTAATTCATCATAAACTAGTAGAATGAACAATTTTTATAAATAATTATTAAGTAAATAAATATAACACTTATTACATCAGAGCACTGCTAAGTGAGTTTTAAACGTAAACAGAATAGCACATTTTTGTTTACAGTGGTAAACAGCGATTATTATGTGCAAAGAGAATAGTAAATGAAATTGATTAAATGATAAAACAACGTGCATCAGCTTTGTAAATAAAAACAAAGCACTGTGTTTACTACTAAATAGTAAATATATTGAATTGAAATTCACTAATAATGGATGCATCATAAACTTACTAAAATAGTCAAGTTATTATTGTTGTGGAATTCAACACACTAAACAACTTTCCTTCAAAGCTTTAAATATTCCACATGCAAGAAACAAAACTATAAAAAATAATTAAATAAATAAAATTAAATGAATACATTCATAAATTATAAACTTCACGTCATCTGAAATCCTACATTTTCCCACCAACAACAGCTTAACCTTCTGCAAATATTTATATAAATATAATAGTAAACACATATAGTGTTACGGATTTGGTATTTAAATCGCTAATGTTAGTTGAATTATAAATTAAATTGTTTTATTTCCTGTGCAGTGTAGCGCGTGACGAACATTAAAGGAAAGCTAAGCCGGAAAATTAAAAATACAAGAGCACGTGCATTTAATATTTAATAAATAAATATCGCTTTTTGATTTCGAGAAAGTTCCAGAAAATTCTCGCGCGCGATTTAAAATCTTATAAAAGGAGGAAAACCTCTCAGTTCATGTGATGTTAGGTAGTTTGTTGTTGTTTTAAGAGTTTGTTAAAAAAACTGCTCTTGTTGACTGTAGAGAATTCACGGATTACCTTTCTTTAAATGTTTTGAATAAAGTTCTCTTGAACATTTGAGTAGTTAAAAGATAACTACTGTGAGATATTGTTATACTGACGAATATCTGAGAAAATTTAAGCATTTTTGTAGTGATAATAATAAATTTTGTTCATTTTTCATCGGACTTGTGCATTCATTTCATAACGAACCCATATGCACGCAACAGGTTTTGGTGTCAGAAGTGGAATTTGAATGACATTTACTAAAGCATTGGAAGAACAGTTAAGGCAATTTATGGCAGCCTTTGCTGCATTTAAAGAAGAGATGAAAGACTCTGTTAAAGGAGAGATTAGATCCATTAAAGAAGAAATGAAATCGGGACAGGAATCCTTTCACGAAAAGTTGGAACCTGGTCAAGTAACTTTTAAAGAAGACATAAAAGCTGTACAAGAAAAAATTGAAGCAAAACGAAAAGAGAAATTGCCTGCATAATAGAAACCAAATTCGAGGCTATGGAAGGCAGAATAGACACAGTTGAAGACAAAGTTGGAAAAATTTAGGAAAGAGTTTCTGCAGTGGAGCAACAAATTGAAGAAAGGGTTTCTATTGTCAAAGAGCAAATCGAACAACAAATTGAAAAGAGGGTTTCTGCTGCCATCACCAAAGAAGTTGACACCTTAAAGAAATGCATAGCAACAACAGGAAGTAGTTCCGATGGATTTAAATTTTTATCTGTGCCTTCTCGCTCCTCACTAAAGTTATCCATTTATGACGGGAAGACATCCTGGCAAGTATATAAGACATAGTTCTCTATAGTGGCAGAAGCAAATGGATGGGATCCCCAGGCAAAGGCCTGTCATCTCGCCACTTCTTTGAGAGCAGACGCAGCGGATATCCTTCAGACTCTTCCCGAAAACAAAAGGCTAGATTTCGAAGCTTTGTCCAGTGCGTTGAAGCTGCGCTTTGGGGAAAAGTGTTTAAAAGACTACAGTAGGCTTCAATTAAAATCCTGCCAACAGGCTATCCCATCTTGCCTTTTCGAAGTGCCCAACAGAAACAAGGAAAATCCTGCCCTTGCAATACTTCATCGACGGCATCCGAGATTCTGAAATACAGAAAGATCTACGAATGGCAGATGTTAAAGATTTGAAAAGCGCTCTGTTGTATGCCGTAAAATTCGAGGCAGCTCAGCAAGCAACTGGTACAGGTCGCTACCCAGTCAGAGCTGTACGACTCCACGAGCCAGTGGATCAATTGATGGCTTTTTTAGATGATTTATCCAGAAAAGTTGACGCTTTGATTCGGAGTAGAAGTGAAAACAAAGTGGCTCTAAGGTGTTGGAGATGTGGTTCTGAAGGTGACCTGCGACAGAATTACAGAACACCCCGGGGTACGGAAAATAAAACAAATGATTTTACCAGACAAGTCAGTGGCTTCAGATGGAACAGAAGTGAAAAAAAAAAACCAGTTCTAAAGTCCTAGAACTGCGGTGTTGACGGCCACGTGCGAAGGAACTGCTGAACACCCCAAAGCACGGAAAACATGACAAACGAGTTGAATAGACAATTAAATGCCATCGGACGAAAAAGGAGTGACAAGAAACGAAAGTGCTGAAACTGTGGAGCTGAAGGCCACGTGTGAAGGAACTGCAGAACACCCCAGAGCACGGAAATTGAGACTTTTTCCCAGCAACGACCGAGGAAACAAATGAATGACCATATCGAGGAACGGAGGTTGCCAGAGAATGAAAAACCTTGTTTTAAAGCGCTGAAGATTTCTACAGTGAGTGGCAACAGTAACGGACTGTCCATCAATGGGAATATTGATGGAGTTCCTTCCAATATGATCATTGACACAGGAGCTAATGTTACCATCATTCGGAAAAGATTTAGGCTCAACAATTTAAAGATAAAACTTATTTGGACACCGCCATCCGTGTTACCCTTCAGACTGCTTCTGGTGTGACAAGATCGACATAGACTGGAAAGTTAAACATGAACATCATGTTTGGAAGTGCCGCCTTACCATCACACGGCATATGTGGCGGATATTACAGATCCATGCATACTCGGATTGGACTTTTTAAGGAAATACAATTTTTCCTTAGACTTGAAAAACAACAAACTGCTTTCAGCATCTGATGACATGACTATCCATCCTCAAAGGGATCCTCGCCTGGAAATGTCGATGCCTTGTCCGAAAGACCCAGCTCAGGAAGCTGCTGAAATCATACTAGGGTCGGAAAAGAAAAAACGCAAGACTACCAGCTATTCTCCATCCCAGATGTTCTTCGGTCGAGACCTTCGTCAGCCTTGTGACCGCCTGTTTGGTCTGCCTACGGATGCACCTTCATCACCTGAGGAATACATCCAAGATGTCCAGGCCCGGTTTGAAGTGATGCACCGTTCCGCACGAAAGCGAGTCAACTTGGCGACGGAGAAAGTGAAGACCAGATACAACACGAGAGCCACTAGACATCAATTCCATGAAGGAGACAAGGTTTGGTTGTGGAATCCGATTCGACGGAAAGGACTCTGTCCGAAATTACAGTCACCTTGGGATGGTCCGTACGCAGTCCTAAACAAAACGAATGACGTCGTGGTTCGGATCCGTAAGTCTTCGAACTCTAAACCTAAAGTCGTTCATTACGACAGGTTAGCTCATTACTATGGCCATAGTATGTAATGTAAATAATTGTAAATAGTGCAAGACCATGGTCCTTTTGTTTCTTCTAAATGTATTGTTTGATTTATTTAGTATTTAATTTGTATTTATATTTGGTATATTTGACATTGTTTATTTTAGTTATTGCATTTATTGTTCATGTTGTTTATTATTGTAATGTAATGCTTTTATTATTGCATTTATGCCACAGTTGTAAGTTTGGCTTCCTGTCCAGGGATTGTAACTGCCAGGGACGTGCAGTCCTTGGGAAGGGGGCAGTGTTACGGATTTGGTATTTAAATAGCTTATGTTAGTTGAATGGTAAATTAAATGGTTTTATTTCCCGCGCAGTGCAGCGCGTGACGACTATTAAAAGAAAGCTAAGCCGGAAAATTGAAAAATACAAGAGCGTGTGCATGTAACATTAATAAATAAATATCTCTTTTTGATTTCGAGAAAGTACTAGAAAATTTCTCACGCACGATTTTAAAATCTTATAAAAGGAGGAAAACCTCTCAGTTCGTTAGTAGTTAGTTTGTTGTTGTTTTAAGAGTTTGTTTAGAAAACTGCTCTTGTTGACTGAAGCGAATTCGCGGATTAGCTTTCTTTAGCTGTTTTCAATTAAGTTTTATTGAACGTTTGAGTAGTTAAAAGATAACTACTGTGAGATATTGTAATACTGACAAATATCTGAGAAAATTTAAGCATTTTTGTTGTGATAATAAAAAATTTTGTTCATTTTTCATCGGACTTGTGCATTTATTTCATAACGAACCCATACGCATGCAACAATATACTATATAATAATATTAAACAGTAAAACTTTTAAAAACAAACACAGTATTTCCAAATTAAATTTTAAAAAAATCTGGCTATACTAAATTTGTACTCTTACAATTACCGAAATAAAACTCTAGGTTTGCTACAAGGAAACATACAGCCGAATACCACAACCTAATCAAAACCTCTCGCCAAGTTTGGCGCTCACCCCGATTATGGAATATTAACCATTTAACCCCTTCGCGCCGATTGTCACGTCTACGCACCAGCAACGAACACACTCACCTACCGGCCGACACGCAGGCGTGACAGAGCATTTTCCCGTTTACTACCTACTGTCACGTATTTGTGCCAGCGTCCTGGAACGTTTTTCAAACTATAATTTCTGCCACAAGATGGCACTGTATGTCCATATGGTTTCAGATACATGCACATTAGACCTTCTACTAGAAATGAGAGAAGCATGACTCACATACATGTGTTTTTGATTATATAAACAAACGGGGAACTAAATGTTTCCGAATGGCATGATTTATGACGTCTCTTTAAATCGCACTTTATTCGCACGTGGTAGTTGTTTATTGTAAGCAGAAGTTTTATATGCGCTAAAGCGTTGAGTATTTCGGTTTACAGTTCAGTTTTTAGAAAATAATTATATCCTGTTAGACGTGAATTCTTTTTGTTTTTACTGTTGCAATGTCGAAGCGTCGAAAATGTTTAACAGAGCATGAAATAGCAGAAATGATGCAAAATATTTCAGATATTGATTCTGAAAGATTAACTGAAAGACATTTTCCAAAACTTTGTTCAGAAGAGACTGATAAGAAAATGAGACAACGATGCTTCGTTTGTTCAAGGAATGTAACGTAGGACTGTGTGTAGATCCCTGTTTTCAAATTTTTCATACGAAAAGAGAATTTTAAGTAATATATTTAGTTTTCAGATGTATAATGTTAAAAGTCATAAAATGGTGAGTAATTAAAAAAAAAATGTGTAAAATATGCATTTAAACAAGAAATAAGGTAATTAAAGTATATATATAAAATATCTATAAAGCATAAGCCGTTTAAATACTCTATAGAGCATTATTAAACAATGCGTTGATACTTCGGAAATTTCATGGATTTAGGCTTAGTAGCAAAAAAGCCCCCAGCCCTGGAGAGACGCTCGCGGAAGACACTGCCGGCCTCCGCAATAAGCGCGCGTTTTCGCTACCCAGCTCAAAGGGGTTAATTAAAAAAGCAAGACCTAAAAATTTTAGGCTTTTAAAACATAAATTTTGTATCATAAATACTGCCACATTTCTTCAGTGGTTTAATATATAAAAGATAAGGGAGATAAAATATTTGATCACTTTTTACTAGAAAATGCAACATACAGTCACATTTTCTGCCATACAATTTTATGCTCAATTCAAATAAATTACTAACAATGAATTTATTTTACCATAAAGATGTTTAAAAATTTTCATGATATTTATAGAATAAATACGAAAAAAATCAGATTGATTAAATAACAAAAAGCTTTATATATACAGTCAAAAGTCTTTAATCCGGACTCGTCGGGACTTCGGCGATTCCGGATTATCGATTTTCCAGATTATAGATCATCAGTTTAAATCTGGTAAGATGGCATGCAGAAGTTATAAAATTAAAAATATGAAGCCGTAATTTATGAAATAAAGAACAATTATGATCTAAAGGGTATCAAAATTTGCAAAAAGAAAAAGCTTAATATTTATTTGTTTACTTTATTAAACATTTCTTTCAATGCGCGCATGCGTAAAGCATACCTTACGCATAGCCGAAATTAGAAAATTGCAACCAGAAAACTATTTGATTTGTATTCGTGATATTTATAATGACGAGGAATTTGATTTAAATCATGTCAAAGACGGAGTAAATCGAGATTAAATACTACATTTAGTAAGGAATTATAAGCCGAATAAAATAAAAACATCTGCCCTGAAGATAACGATAGTGCTGACAGATCAACTTCCAGTTCGTTGCACGCCACGACATCTTCCCCTGCACAGAGCAGCGTGAAATTGATAAACAGATTTCGGAATGGTTAGATAAACAAAGGATATGCCTTTATCCATTTTTTGTAGAAATTCGTTTTGTTTGATGGACATTGAAACATACTTTCGTTGAGAATACCGACTAATTTTTCAATCGAAATTTTTTCGTTTTCAATAACCTCCGTGTCACTTTCTTCACTATCGGAAGCGAATTATAATGAGGAGGAATTTGATTTAAATCATATCAAAGACGGAGTACATTGAGATAAAATACTACATTTAGTAAGGAATTATAAGCCAAATAAAATAAAAACATCTGCCCTGAAGATAAGGATAGTGCTGACAGATCAACTTCCAATTCATTGCACGCCATGTCGTTTCCCTTCCCCCGCAGAGCAGCGTGAAATTGATAAACATATTTCGGAATGATTAGATAATCAAAGGATATGCCTTTATCCATTTTTTGCAGCAATTCCACTTTTGGTTTAATGGACTTCGAAGCGTACTTTCGCTTTGTAGATCCTTTACATATTAGTAAATATATATCGGAAATTCTATTTGACATAAAGTTCAAGCTTACCTTTATAAAATTGCTGTAACAGTCTGCAAAAAATAATAAGCCGGATCCAATTCGAAGATTAAGGAACAACGCAATCTGAAACATTACCTGAATTAGATAATTTCAGCTTAGCTTATACCGTCCGTTATACATTAAACGTGCTTGCGTAAATGTATTATGCGCATGCGCACACGCATATTCGCAGCCGTTAAGGTCTTACGCGCATGCGTCAAAGCGACGCATGCGCAGAAAGTTTGTAGATTTGAGGTCCGGATTATAGATCATTCCGGATTATGGGTGTCCGAATTAACGACTTTTGACTGTACAATAAAGTTAACAGACCTATCTGCATCCCAACGGAGTACGAGACCAAGAAGGGAAGGAGCAGAATAGCGATTTCCAAGTAATTGAGGATCTCCCACAATGAGCAATTTTACTGTATCTCCAGCACCTTTAGAGAACTTTGGCCAAATGAGTAGTGGTGAGAGAGAATATTCAAACCACTCAAACATGGTAAGAACAAACATGAAAAATACTGTTATTCTCAAGGAATTCCTAAAATAAAAACAATAATTAATAAAATAACAAAAATAATGTAAAAAATGTAGCAAAATGAAAAAAAATTTTACATTTTTTACCAAACATACATTAAAAAATTCTAAGTAATCTGCCGAAGTTACACTACATAAGTTATTAACATAAAAATATTTAAGAGTTAATATTAATTCAGAGTTTATAAGCTTCAAAGCTATTCTACTGCAGATTACATTTTCTACATTTAGTAATATTTATGTTAATATAAGATGATCTAGATGATGTTGACACGCAGACACATTAAGAAATAGCTACAATCATGGCCAAGTTAGCACCTTTCTATCCAAAAGTTTTTGAGATGAGACATGACACAGTTAATAATCACAATGTGCATGTCTTTCTTTATCACCTATATGAATTTTAACATCATTATGAAAATGAAAATGATGATAGATAAGCAACAACATGCTGGCAGGGCAGCAGAAATATGATATTCTAAAATGAAAACCCAATTCAGAATTGTTTATTTTTGGTTATTATCATAACTTAAGTTTAAGCTTTGGTCCCCAAATTTTGAAATTACTATCGGCTGAAGCATTACATAAGCAAAAGCATCATTAACATTATATAAAATATATACGACATGGATTAATTTTGAAATGATGCAGTTTACAGTGACTTATTATAAGCAGTTACTATTTTGGAGACAGAAATAGGAAGTAACCAAGTTAAAATGAAGAAATACGAAGCTACTACAAATTAAAACTAGAATTTTAATTTTCATGTCTGGGGAGAGGGCAAGCTTATGCATTGTACAGTGCGATTCTTGGACATGGCACTAACATATAACTCCTTAGCAAGCTCTCAAGCAGTTGCATACTAATGTTTTTCCATAAGTTTTCACAGGCGGGTCTCATCAACATCAGTAGTAATATTTAGTAGTAGGCTAGAGTGCTCTGCTTCTTAAATGTCATATTCCTTGTTTTTGAACTTTCGAAACCAAACCTTCACAGTATCATATGATACAACATTAGTATCCAAAGTTGTACACATGATTTGGTGACATTCTGTTGCTGACATTTTGCAACAGAGCTGGATGTAAATGATGGTTCTAATCTGATAGCGTAATAGTTCCATTTCAGACACTTTAATAATATTTTTTTACAAATTCCACAACACAGTATTCTTAAGCAAGTCTCTTTCTTTCAAATGACAAAAATTGTTTGACAAAATATGATTAAACATGCCAACACGAACTGTCTGCAAAGACGATATTTGCAGTGGCGGGAAACTTTCATTAAAAACTTGATATTTCCAATGTTAAAAGATAAAAAGTTAGCTTTGATTATCAATTATTGCTATCCTAGAGTTTGTAATCCTATCAAAAAGTGAATCAGTTTTTAAATATTGCAATGAAAATTTACTAAATTTACAGAAGGCAATTAACGAACAGAAAATATTAATTCATTATGAAGCTTAACATTGCACAAGTGAATTGCCTATAAACTCTCTAGAGAAGTCTTTTTTTCTTTTACTCTCCAGTATTTCAGATGTGCTCATAGCTTAAGGCATCACATTATTTAAATCCTAAAGGTGTTACTATAGTTAACCCAGTCATTAGCTTAAACTTTCCTTGGAAAAATATTCAATTTTGACGTTGGATATGTGGATACTTTTGCAAAGCATGTGACATTGGCAAAAAAAATAACTTGTGGAAATCACCTAGGAAACTGGAATTACTTTATCAAAAATCTTTTTAAAACAACTACAAAGTTATCTATTCATTGCATAAAATAAAATGTGAAGATAAACTATCATTATTCTGTATTTTCCTTCACACAAAAACCAGTATATAAATTTGAAACTTAAACAGTTATTGTTTAAACTTCTGATAAAATAAGGGGGAAAGTGCAGAATCACCCACTGCTTGGTACGTTTTTAAGAACTGCATACACTTGTTATCCATGTACACATCAACCTATTTTCACTTCAAAAAACATCCCACAATTGCACAAAAATGGCATTGCGCACTCCCTTTATCCACGTACACGTCGAACTATTTTCACTTAAAAAGTCAAAGAAAATTGACATAAATCCAATTCTTCTTACTTGCAAAAAGTGCCAAACAAATAAGTGGGCAATTCTGCACATTACCTCTTCAATTTATTCATTTATGTTGAATACTTCGTCTACACATTCTGATGATTATTTTTTTTTTCTATCGCTCATTCGATTCCTACTTTTTTGTTGACTTTCCTGTGTTATTGCATCAATACTACCTAGGCTGGCTAAATCACCACTCATATTTCTCCATCCATACTTCAGTGTGAAAAACATTTTCTCCCCTTTTTTTATATTTTACGATACGTGGATACAAGAAATAAGTTTATTAAAGCTCAATGTATTATGAAATCAACAATCAGAATTTTTCAGTCTTGCAGGAAGTGCAAGCTTTTGATTTCAATCCAGACTTTAACAATTCACTGCACTGTAAATGAGTTTCTTCTGAAGCAGCATGAGTGCTTTATAATTAAGTAATATTTTTGGAGAGTGCAGATGTGTGGTAATACAGGTTTAATGTCAAAGTTTTCGAGAAAATAAATTGGTACTTCCTTGTAACTGTTCCTCCCTCGCACTAGTCACATCATGCCAAGAGCCCTTTTTAACCTTGGTCTGTATCAAAGGGTCAACAGGGAACCATTTGGTGATGGTTTGTGAGGAGCTGAATAAAGCTGCTGCTTTGGTGCAGTGCATTAACATAATTTTGGGGTTTTCTTCTGCAAAGGATCCATTGGCGGCGGTGTGAATTTATTCGCCAATGGCTAATTGACCATGCTTTTAGCGGTGTATAGTTAAGTTGCAAGATATTTAGCATATGGAAGCGATGATTTTAGCGGTGTACAGTCAAGTTATAAGATATTTAACATATAGAAGTAAAATAAATAGGTTAACCATGACATTTAGAGAGTTAACCCGGGAGGACGAGCACTGTATTATGTAACACGAGAACGCGCCTCGCAATTAAATGATGTACATATGCATGTGTGTATTACGTACTGAGTAATGATCACTTTTACGCTGATGAAAAAGTGAAATTTATTCCATAACTATTTTAATCACACTTAATTTACATAATTTTAGTTAATCTTAATTTAAATAGTAAAACGCATTTTATTCAAAACACCTGAAAAGTTCACCTTTTCTACCAAATTCAAATATTAAATATAATTTTACAAAACTATTTTTTTTAGTACAAATAATGATAACCGGGAGTACAATGCTCAACCTTCCACTCAAACATTAACACTCTGCACTATCCAGGCTAACAAGGTTAGTCATCGAAACAAACCTGTATTTTTTCGACAGATTATTCATTTCCATTTTTCGGATTTGTTCCCACTATATTTCAAACAAACGAGATTAAATTCTTTGGTATTTTAAAAGCCTTTTGAGCATAAACAGCCCATTTTAAATTAAAAGAAACAAACACTCTTAAACGTAGAAACATCGTGAACTTCAAAATGACACAATTGAAGTAGTAGTTCGTTTTGCCCCTTTGCTACAGGACCGAAATATGAAATTAGGATTTTAAAATTAAAGTTTCATTGAAATACATTAATCAAAATATTTCATGGTATATTTCTAGTTTACATGCGCATAAGATGTTCTTAACCAGATATTTTACCTGGATTAGATCTAGATATTATGGCAGCCGCAAAGATGTTTAATATGTAGCCGTAATTTTTGTTTCCCTGTTAAATATTCGTAAGCTGCTAGTACACAGAAAAGTGAAATTTTGCTGAAAGTTATGAAAGTAATCGTCGTAATTTAACATTTAGTTTAGCTAAAATACATTTAAATTTATCTTTTTATGCTAACTTAGGTTAAATGGCAGAATATAAATCATATAAATCATCAGTTGGGCCAACGAATTTAGTGAGTCACGCTCACCAGATTGTACCGGTAAAAAATTTATTTTCTTTTAAAAAAAATTTTTGTTAGTTCTGTCAAGCACTTTCTGCTTAACAAATGTGGGTATTTCCTTCTCCGTATGTCAAAGATAAAATGAAACTTTGCACCTCTCTTATCATATGTTGTATGGAGATAAGCCCTAATAACAAACTTAAAAAAAATTTCACTGATATATTTTTACTCATAATGCAATATACTCGTCAGCATCTCTTAAAATATTAATTATGGTTATTACTAGTAATGATCCATTGCAGGATACAACCAATTTTTTACAGGTGATTCTTGCAAATTATGTTTTTAATTCCTATTTAATTCTTAAGCTTCACCAAATTTTTTACAGTTGATTCCTGCAAATATGCTTTTTATTTTTATTCTTACTTAGCTTTTTATATATTCTCTCTAAGGAATTAACATAAATTAAAAGTTCTTATCTGTGCATTTATAAGTTTGTTTGCCTCTGACTGGAAGAAAGCTCAGTTCAGTACATTTAAACCTATTTTGAGGATTTTGAGTAATAATGAATTGATTGTTATCTTTATTCTGAATTTTTAGCATTTACCATTGTTAAATTTTTATCTGTATAAAAATTGCAGATTTTTATTGTCATATTAATGTGATTAAAATTTTAATTTTTGAATAGACTGTTGCATCTAGTATGTTACATTGGGCACGCCTAGTTATTGGAGGACTTGCACTTCCCCTTGTTTTTCCTTGGCTGGTTTATAATTTATATAAGTCTCATTTCAAACATAAAATCTTTCGAAACCGCTCTCTTGAAGATAAAGTAGTTTTAATAACTGGAGCAAGTTCTGGCATAGGAGAAGGTTTGTAATAATATTCACATTCTTTTAAATCAGACTAACTTTTCTTATGTATGAAATTACTGTTTACTGCAATAAGTTTGAAATGTAAATTAGATAATCATTAATAATGATCAAAATTCTTATTTAGGTTGAAAAAGTGATTTTGGTACATTCTGATTATCCTTATCCCCACTGAAATATGGCAAACAAGTTGCTGACTTTAAAGAGAAATGTTTGGTTGAAAATGTTGTTTGAAAATATGCAAAATACTTGCCTCGTGACTTAAGTGAAAATATATCGATGTGTACATGGGCAAAGTAAAGGGAGTGCGCAATGCAAGTTTGTGCAATGCTGGGATTTTTTTTAAGTGAAAAGGTTGACGTGTACATGGATAAAGTTAAAAGAGTGCGCAATGTCATTTTTGTGCAATTCTGGAATTTTTTTTTAAAGTGAAAATAGGTCGACGTGCACATGGATAAAGTCAAAGGAGTGCGCAATGCCATTTTTGTGCAATTCGGGGTTTTTTTTTAAGTGAAAATAAATCGATGTGTACATGGATACCAAATTTATGCAATTGTTTGTCTTGTTATTTTGGCTTTGTGTAGCGGCGATTTTTGCGCCAAAATAACGAGTCAAAGAATTGCACAAAATCGGTATCCATGTGCCGCCAAAAATCGCCAAGTTTCGCCAAGGGGTTCCGTAGACTATACTTTTACCAATGTTTTCTTTCCCAATCGTTCTAAAGTGTACTGAAACTTCAGGTTAATCATACCACCAGCAGGCATTTTATGGTGTAAAGCACAAAATAAGCAACATACTATTTCTTAACTAATATCCAACACATAAATAAGCCCTTACAAATCCCATTAGTCAGATTCACTGCAGTCACGCAACTAATCGCGTCATAATAGGGTTTCAACTATTCAGTTACCATAAATGAAACAATAACTTGATGATAATCCAAGGGGTACCCTAAAATATAGACTAACCAAAAGTAGTTCTTATTGACTTTTTTTGGTAAGTGTAATTATGCTAATCAATTTTCTTGTGATGCTCCAGTCAATTTATGTACTTTTTTGTGAAATGATTCATTTTTCTTTCGGATTCCATATAGCTCACGGATTCCATATATTCATATATATCATATAGATTCTTTTGGATTCCATATATTCATATAGATCATATATCATATAGATTCTTTCGGATTCCATATATTCATATAGATATATATTTTATGTGAAGCTCACTATAGCAGTGTTTCACTCTAATTCTGTAATTGGGAAATTTTTATCCCGATTGCTGTCAGTCAGCACTTACTTATTTTTTCCTCTCTTTTCTCTGACTGGATCTGAAAGATTGGTTAGTCCAAGTCTTTATTTTCTTTGTAATCTGTTTTTTTCTTTGGAGTTGACTTGCCATGTAATTGAGTAAATAAAATGATTTTGCCCTTATTTACTCAACCATAAAACATTTATACAATTAACAAATGATTACATTATTTTTATACCACCTTTTAAAAGTATAATTTTTTGAAAGCAGTAATTATTATTTATTTATCCTTTACTTGCTCTGCCATTAAACAGCATTGTAGGTTGGTTATACCTTCGCGGTTGCTGCCAGTCTTCACTTGCTTACTTTTTTTCTGTCTTTTCTCCGACTGGATCTGGGCCCACCAGCGGCCGATCGGTAAAATTGCTGAACACTGGTAGTTCGATCCGAGGTTTGAATCCCGCAAACGGGCTGGCTTCGTGTGCGTTTTCAAGGTTTTCCCCATGTGTAACGTGTATACGAGCCAGTTTTCCTTAGAAAGTCCTCCACGAACGCATCCCTCCCCTTAGTCAGATAGCGCTCGTGTGCTTTGCCATAACTCAACATAACATACACTGACTGGATCTGGAAGATTTATGGATTAGTCTAATAGTCTTTATTTTCTTTGTAATCTGTTTCTTCTTTGGAGTTGACTTGCCATTTAATAGAGTAAATAAAATGCTTTTGCCCTCATTTACTCAACCATAAAACATTTATACAAGTAACAAATGATTACATTATAAAATATTTTTGCAATACATACCATATTTACAGTATGGCATCTTGTTATCTATAAGTCCCATTTGTCAGAATGTTTTCTTTTACATATATTTGTTTCTGATTAAACCTTTTTATTAATATGGGTTATTATTTCTTTCACTCTCCTCCAAAGTTAGTCCTCTGATGATGACTGAGGCAGAGCAGACACATGACGACCAATCACATTTCAAGTATGCTGAATCGGTAAAAGATCAGGGGACTTTTCAGACCATGAAAGCAATGGGGCATGCTGCAAGGCTTGTTGGCTAATGAATTGCCGGAAAATACCATTTTGCAGCCACTGAAAGTAAAGTAGCACGACTGGCTGTAGTGTTTCAACGGATCATGCTGTCAGCATGCCTCCGACAAAGAATATATATTATATGTCGCGAAGGAGGAAAATGTTGGCCAGGTCTGGTACATCACAGAGAGGGAAATTCTTGCCAACAGGTTCTGTCGCCAAATCCATTGGCGAATTTTTCCTCTTCTTTCAAGCAGCGTAGAAGACGAACTGATTTACATTACGTCTGTGGAGCCTTTCCTTCTTTACATAGATGTTCTTTGCCTCTGATGCATAACAGGGGTGACCTGCTATCGTGACTGATGATACTCCAAATTATTAGACCACATTGACGAGCAGTGTGGCATTTAGCAATAGTAGTTGGATTAGCTGTGTCTCCACTGCACCTCCAGGCCCTTAACCGATGATGATCATCAGACATACAAAACCAAGATTCATCATTGAATACCACATTGTGCCACTGAGATGTCCACGTGGATCATTAATGACACCATCACAGTCTTTTGTGTCAATGGTTTGCTGTCAATGGCAGTCTTCACGCATCCAAACGTTGGGAAACTGTTCTCTCCAATACTGGAGCAACCAAAGCTCCATGCACGTTCTGCAGTGTCCATAGTAGTCAATTGTGAAGCTGCCACTACTTTTCTTCATGTGCATCATTCTGTGCATTCTCTAGTGCATCTAGATAGACCTGGTCTTTCGCAACTGTTACCTTTTACTGGGTTACTGGGTGGTGAAAGGAAGTTTTAATTGCCGTCTTGCTTTGCACTTTCTTTTGTGAATGCTGGGGATGTTGAATAAATGAGTTTCTTTCAGGTGGAAAGGCATCTTAAAATTCATCTTAAAGGGCAGCTTGATTCTTATCTCTTGTTTTTCTGCTTGTTAGCTGGGGGTCGAATTTTGGTTTCTCATGCTCACCGTGTACAACTGTCAACAGTTCTTTGTACGTCTCTGCTTCGGTTTGTTGGGGGTGTGAAGTTTTTCAGCAATATAAGAAGAAAAATTCTTGTGTTGGTTAAGTTTAATTTTATGTTCAGTTTTTTGGCCTATAGTTTTTTAGTGAGTGGAGAAACTGAGTTTTCTTGAGAACTTATAAATGTGTTGAAGTGAGTTACATTGGAGTTTTCTGTGATGTGAGCTTAGAAAAAAAGAGATTATGGGTCATTTGTCCAACTACGGGCTTTCCCCGCTGCGGGTTGCCTCTGCAAGTGGGCTGGGGCTGCGTTTTCCCGACTGGAGGTTGCTTGAAAGAAGATTCGCCTACTGAAGTGGCAGAACGAGTTTTTTCTCACAAGGGGCCCTAATTGACAATCTGCTTAAAAGAGGGCAAAATTTAGTCCGAGATGATTAAGCAATTTAATGCAAGATGCAAAGTCAAATTAACTGTGAGATTTTAGCACAGATTGTTTTCACCTCATCTGCATCTCGTGATCATTCCTTCCGATCTCGAAACTGGTGTGAACTCATAGTGAACCGAGCTATTAAATACTCTTGATCAGTATCCATCATTTTGTGTTTTTGATGAAAAGGGCAATTTAGTGTGAGATAATTTTACATAGACTTTTCACCCTACCTGTACACAAAACTGGTGTGAAAAGCTCATAGTGAACCCAGCCATTAAATATTCTTAATCTGTATCCGGCAATTTGCTCGGTTTGGGTTTCTGTGGAGAATTCCTAGGCGCCCAAAGGAAATAAGCGGAGTGATCTGTTGAACTATTTAAATTTCTTGAATATTCAGTCGATGATAGCAATCCCCAGTAATAGAAGTTTGATATATGAACTTCATCCTGCGAGTGATTATTTTTTCTCTGTCTTTTCAATTTAAACCATGACTAAGTAATGATAAATTATATTAATATACAAGAATTACGTAATGATGAGTTATATTAATTTACATGAAGTGAATAGAAGAATTAAATAATGATCAGTTATATTAATATACATGTAAATGAAATGATTTGAAGATTTAAGTAATGACAAGTTATTTTAATGTATCTGTAAACAAATGATTAGAAAATCTGTTTAACCATTTAAATTGCGAGTTCTGGATTTGTTTAAAAAAAATATAGCATACTTACTATTAATCTGAGTGTAATTTTTGGAATGACATATATGTTATTTTACATCTTAAGGTTAATTTTGTAGAATGTTGATCATTTTATCATACTATCTGAATTTAATCTAGAATTAATAAATGTGTTTTGATTTGTATATTTTATGTTTCATTTGTTATTTTGTGTTACCTTACTTGGGTCTGTCTAGTCACTCCGTTTGTTTGAGCCGTATAATTATTTGAAAGTTTGATTTTGGTTAAATTGTAATGATTTTTAGGTGCTAGGACTGTATTTAAACTCTAGAATTTTTTTTTTTTTTTTTTTTTTTTTTTTTTTTTTTTTTTTAAGGGGAACTGACAGATTGAGGTATGAGTATTTTTTCTCTGGTGTTTGTGAGGTTTTTGAATTAATGAAACTGATCTTAGTTGCTCTTGAGTCAATATAATAAATGACTGAATGTGTAGTGTAAGTGAATTGAAGTAATAATTTTGTTTGAGAGATAGCATACTATTTTAACCTGAGTGCCAGCGAAGACTTATTCCTCTTTATTTCTCAGGTTAAGTTTTATTAAGTGTGAATCTGCATCTGATTGAGTTA